TTTATGCATTCCAAATGGTGAGAAAAAATAGGAAACGTCCCATAATTCTCGTTCTTGAAGCGTGGAGAAAATCCAGGTGAACATGTGTTTAATGCGTCAAACAGAGAGATGTTCGTAACTGTTATGGATCGTGGCGAGCGTGCTATGTGTTGTGACGTGGGGCACGCATACTGAATATGTGTTGGCCAGGACATGAAGTGTGCCGAGGGGCACACTTTTCCAACTTGTGACGGTCGGTAGGTGCTGTGGCGGGCGACATGCTTCTGATTTACAAAATGCTACATTTTGCTGCTAAATAGTCACTTCTTCTTCATTTTTCCATTCTTTTTCTTCCTTTTCTCATTTATGTCTTGCAAAAGCTAAGTACCTGAAATATGTTTCAAAAGCTACAAAAAGGGATAAAATGTGACATAATAAACGAAGAATCGGAAATTTAATCTATGTAATTCGGGAGGAAATGCTATATCTTTTCGTGTTATCAGATATTTCCTTCTCATTGATTCTTAAAGTTATGCAGATGTGTCTTTCCGCAGGATTGTCTTCAGAATGCTCTTATGTATGGCTGCGAATAAATGATTTTTTACTTTCAGATCTTTTAGTTTCAGATCTTCTCTTTCCTTCTTCTCCGCATCACTCTCTACTGCATTTGCGCCCAACTCGACGTATCCTGGATCAATGAGATGCCACCACTCCTTACAACAAAGTAAATTCTCCATCAGCATACTCCAGTGATCGTAATCACCATCAAACTTAGGAATACTCAACAAGTTTTGTCCTTCATTCGACATTTTTTCTCACTCTCTGAATCATGCCTCTTTATGAGGTTCTGATACCAATTGTAGAAACCTGAGTTCACACACTAAAATACATACTCAATATTTGTTGAGAGATGAAATCACTTTATTTATTATTCAAGGAAAAACTTGTCTTAAATAGCCTTTACAAATGAATAGGGATGTTAGGTTTTTCACCCACTAGAAATCTAACAAATATAATTATCAGGACCTGAATAATAGGTTTCTTGATTAACTAAACTGAGAGAAAATAACAACTATTAAAGTAAAACTAAATTTACAGAAGAATATGTTCATCAAGAATAAGTCCATAAATGCGGAGTACCTGATGTCTATGTGTTACATGAGTTCTAATGACGTCTTTACACTTTAACACGATCCTCGTAATCTTAATGACAAATATAATAATTTTTTTTATTATGCCATGAGGTCGAATTTGAGCTGATTGAGATAATTATTTTTGGAGAAAGAATGATTCCTAAAATGAGGCACACCTGACTTTGTGCTAATGCATTGATAATCTTTTTTAAAAAGTGATTCATGATAATGCACTCCTTACTTGCGTGAGGACATAAACAAATTTAGAGGCTTTGAGATTGCTCATCCTATAACAGTTTAAAGGCCTTCACATATAAAATCTTCTCGAGATCAAGTTGATTCTTCTATGCAAGGGAGGTTACATTTGACCTTTTCGTTCATATCAATGTCTTGTGTCTAAACTTCTTGACCTCCTCTGAGGTGCTGGTGACCCGGTTACCCTTTGCTGGTGTCTACATTGTGCATTTATGAATTGTGCACGTATAATCATCTGTTGATTTTGATGATGACAATTGCTGCCAATTGTCAAGCAACTTTTAAATATGATAACTCCATAAGTAAACAACTTTTGATGTTGATAACTTTTTTCAAGAGTTCTTTGTGACAACTGCCAAATGGGGAGTTGATATCAATTATCCAGTAATTTTTTATGATGACATTTGATCTATAAGAAGATATCTTAAGTCTCATCTGTTAGATGATTGAAAGTTCCAGTGGAAGTGATAATCAAGAGTGGAATCAAGTAGGTGATCTATAAGTCTTAAAGTAAGAAAGTGTGAAAGCTAGTCTGATCTTGTTCTTAACATTTTGAAGTGATCATTTTAAATTATAAAAGGTCAAGAGTAAGTATTGAAGTACTAAGACAATCATACACATATAAAATCATTTTCAAATCCTCTTCGACTTCATTAAACTTCTTAACATGTACCAAGGCATGTATATTGTTGATTAATAAGTGTTTCTAATCAACTAAGAAAGCTAACTTAGTGTCTAATCAATTAAGGGCTTGGGCCAACATGTTAAAACAATAAGGATGACTTTTTAATCGATTATAAAAATCTATTAGCTGAATAAATCATATACCTATTTTAGGGGTTTCTTTTCTAGATTAGGGTTGTCACCTTTTGAAGTATTTTAATTATTAAAACCCAATTTAATCGATAAATCATGAATCATTTATTTTTTTAGTCAAATTTTTTTATATATAAAGAAGGATTACCTTGATTTCATTTTACACCAAATTTATGAATAGAAATCCCTCTATTATTTTTCTAATCTCTTTGTTTATCAAATTGTCTTTTCATTAAAATTGTTATATTGTGCTAAAAGACTGAAAAATTCTTCTAAGAGTTATGTTATACTGATGTTATAATTAATTTTTTTTTATTAAAGAGTGTGATTCTCTTATGTAATAGTAGAATATTTTATAAAAGATTTTAAAGGTTGTAATCTAAATCAGAAAAAAAATCTTGGGTGAAGGTTCTTGACCTGAGCTTGCGTAAAAGCTCTATTTGTACATTCTTGAGTTAAGCCTATTTAAATGTTATATTTCTTGATTCCTAACTTAATTATGTATAGAAGCTATGTTTTTTGTTGAAGGTTTGTAGGTTGATCTCGTAAAAGCTTAAGTGTGTTGTTAGTGGAACTCACAAGAGAAAACTTTTGAGGATAATAGTAAGTCATATAGTTAGATCAAACCTGTATAAATCTCTGATATAATATCTCTATGAATTCTTTATTTATTTGTATGTTGTTTATTTTTATTCTTATGTATATCTCCCTATTTTGAGTATTACACTTCTAAGAAGATCCTTTGAAGTTTTCCAATTAACAAAGTGAAGTTGGAGTAATACTCCCTATATTTGTCATTTCCCTGATTGTTCCTTCATTTACTTCCGTTACGATCATTTTGAGGGTACCTCTTGCAATCTCCTCGTTTAACTACAACAATTTCATCCATGGCTATATATCTCATTTCTCTATTCTTGAGCTCGCTTAACATGTTGGGTGACTGGCATTGCTAATAAGTCAAAAAATGAATGTGGCTCAAGGCCTGTCTTCAACGTAGGTTGGGCCATGACTAAATTCAAGCTTTTGATCTAAGATGTCTTTTTGTTGACTCAATATATGAGAGAGGAAAGACTCCTTCCATTTTTGTCTAACCCTAACTAGACATGTTGGCTATGTTTGGATATCATGAGCGGAATGAAGCGGAGCGAAGTGAGCTGAAGTGAAGCAGAACAAAGATACCACTCTATTGTTTGGAAATTTTAGGACGAAATAAGGTAAGTTGTTCATTTCGCTCAAACCAGAGGAGAAGAAATATGGTGGTAAGTGATAGAATATAATGAAATTCATACCACTCCATTCTGCTTCGCTCCATTCGTTTTAAAATTATTCAAATAATAGAATATCATTTTATGTCATCTCATTCCGGTCCACTCCATCTGATTTCATCAACCCAAACAAAGCCATTAAACTCTAATGGATTATTTAAATCATGAAAAATCTTAAGAGAAACTTTTCAATTTAATTGTTTTCAAGAATATACATATACTCTAAAAGATAAAAAAACTACAAAAGTGCAACTTTCTTCTAAGTGCATGAGAAAACAATACACTTTATACCACTACAAAAGTGCAACTTTCTTCTAAGTGCATGAGAAAACAATACACTTTATATTAGGGTGCTCAAAAATATGATTAACTTAATTATATATTTAAACTGAATTGAATTTGATCATAAAAAATTAAACAATTTAATTAAAATAATTCAAATACAATTTAAAACAGATTCATAAATAATGTTTTAAAAATATATATTTTCTAGAAAAAATAAAATAAAATATTTTTTGGAAAAATACTTTTTATTGAAAATAAAATATTTTATGGAAAAATAAAATACTTTTCCAATTTTCTTTTTTTGAAAAAAAAATTATATTGTCTAGAAAAAATAAAATATTTTCTGAAAAATAAAATAATTTTCCAAAAAAAACAATTTTAAAAATAAAATATTTTTTATTTGAAAAAAAAATTTCCCAAAAATTTATTTATTTTAATATAAACAATTTTAAATTTTGTTATGAAAAAAACATTAGTTTTAAAATAGTTCAAAATATAAAATTGATTTTAAATTAATTTTAAATTGAATAAGACCATTTTAATAATTAATTAAATTTTTATTAAAGTGATTGTTGAAAACTAAATTAAATCATAAATGTGATTTGATTAAAGAAGTTTATAAATCACTAGAACTATTTTATATTATAGAAAAAATTAACGACACGAATTAAAAAGTTATTTTTAAAAACTTTCTCTTAAAACGTGAATATTTAATATTTTAAAATTTTAAATATAAATTTATTATATTTAATTATATTTAAATTTTTCTAATTATAATATTTTTAATATATAATGTTAGGCCTCTCGAACTAAAAACACATTTTAACAATAAATAAAAAGTAAAATAAAGTTCCCTCTTTTGTAACCAAAAAAAATCTTACAAAAAAACCCCAAAACAACAAAACTGAGAGTTCCATCGAATAAAAAGCAAAAACCCTTTGCTTTCGAAGTTCCACCGAACTGAACCGCCCGTAAAACCCTAGACCACGCCGGAAAACGCAATCGGACTTCTTCGTCTTCCGCCGCCAATCACAGTAAGGAATTCGTTCATCTTTTCCTTTTTAACTTTACATTTTCGAACGCGATTCTGCGAACATCACTTTATTTTCGTTTCACTGCTTAATTTGTTAATCGATTATTCCACATTTGATTATTTTCTCATCATTGTTCCCGTTTCATTTCCGTTAGCTATACTTATTTATTCTTTTGATTTTGGGATAAATTGTTGATTTTATGTATGCTTGTTGTAACTGATGAACAGGTTAACATGCCTTCATTCTTAGGGTTTAGGGTTCATAAAATTGAAGGGTTAATTTCCCTTTTGAATTCCAAACAATATTTGCCACCGTGGATTAATACTGTCCGGCATTTTAGCTTCGGTGATGACCGCGGTGGCACCGTCAAACAGGCGGCAGTGGGAGAATCTGATGATGAATTTTCCCGAGACACGAGTTTTAATGATAATGGTAGCACTAGAAATGAAGAAGGATTTGGTATTGGACAACATAGGGTTTTGAGAGGTCAGAGGCCGATAAATCAGCCTCCTTTGCATTCTCAAGAATCTAATCGAGGTGGCCGTCGTCCGAGATTCGATGGAAATCGCGGCAATAAATCTTCTCAAATTGATATTGGCTATCAGGGTAGAAATGTGGCTGAAACTGGTAGAGATGCGGGTCAATTAGGAGATAGTTTTCTCGATAAATTTAAACTTGGTTTTGATGATAAGTTAGGGAATCCGTCAGAGGTTCAAGCAAACAGCCAATCTGGAGAAGCGACAAATTCGTCAAGTTCCAGTCAACTAGCTGTAGATTCTATGCCTCAAGATGTTGATGAGATCTTCAAGAAGATGAAGGAAACTGGTCTTATCCCTAATGCAGTGGCTATGCTTGATGGTTTATGTAAAGATGGGAATGTTCAAGAAGCTTTGAAGCTTTTCGGTTTGATGCGGGAAAAGGGAACGATTCCGGAGATTGTCATTTACACAGCTGTAGTGGAGGGATACACTAAGGCCCATAAGGCTGATGATGCTATAAGGATTTTCAGGAAAATGCAGAGTAATGGTATTACTCCAAATGCGTTTAGTTACACAGTCCTTATACAAGGACTCTACAAATGTAGCAGACTACAGGATGCATTTCAATTTTGTGTGGAGATGTTAGAGGGGGGTCATTCACTAAATGTCACAACTTTTGTTGGTTTGGTAGATGGTTTCTGCAAGGAAAATGGAGTTGAAGAAGCAAAAGGTGTTGTCAAGACATTAACTGAAAAGGGTTTTGCTTTTGATGAGAAAGCTGTCAGGGAGTTTTTGGACAAGAAAGCACCATTCTCACCCTCCATTTGGGAGGCCGTCTTTGGTAAGAAAGCTCCTCAGAGGCCATTTTAAATATATTTTCAAACTAAGTTTATTTTCTTGATTCTTGTATTCTTTTCTAGACTTTGTTTTGTTCTTGTGTAATGATGTATGATTACTACAGGGACACCTATTAAAATTTTTTTAAAGAGGGTTCGACTAGTTTGCTGTTTTTTTATAAGCAAATGTTAATATATTTGTTGTTAGGCAAAGGTTAGTAATTTATCTTTCAGTGAGGTTTGAACCCCGATTCTTTTATTCCTCCGACTAGTTTATTGTTTACTTGTTGATACAAGCCTGATTTTTGTTTTTAAATGTATTACTCCCAAATTATTTAGTACACAGCATGAACTTTAAGATTGTCTTTAGAACTTTGAAACTTCTACTCCTAACTTTTGGGTTGGTTCAAGTTCGTTCTAAATACACCGAGTTTGGGAAAATGCAGATCAAACTGAATTAATTACCAAAACCAACCCGATATTTTTCACACTAGATTGATTTGGGTTGGTAATCCAATTGAGCGAAATAGCATTGATTTAAGATGTAAGAATAATTGTTGCTATTGTTAATTGTAGTCATGGAAGCTTACCTAGTGCGTGTTAGAACTTGTGTTGAACAACAATGTATGGACGAAGAAGGTAACTAGTGTGTGTTAGAACTTGTGTTGAACAATATAGAATGAACGAAGAAGATGAAGATAATTATCGCTGCACTTTATTTTAGGGTTAAATATATTTTTAGTCTCTAAAAAATTGGTATGTTTTAGTCTCTATAAAATTATTATGTACGTAGTTTTAGTCTCTGGTAAATCGATGTGTATTTTTGAATGATTATTTTTTAAACATGTTTAAAATATTATAAAAAGTTTCTCAAAAAAAAAAAAGGAATTTAAAATTTGATTTTTAAGTTGAGATTTTTATTGTTTTTACAATATCTTTGAAATTTAAAAAAAATCATAAACACTTATAAAAAAATTTAAATATTTAAAGAATATAAATAGTTTTTAAAATTTTAAAAAATAATTATGATTAAAACTGCATGAATATAAATTTTATAGAATTAAAATATGTTATTTTTTTAATAAAGATCAAAAATGAAATTTGAGATATTTATAGAAACTAAAGACATATTTAATCTTTTATTTTAAAATGAGTGTGGACACTAACTTTTCTTTCGATTCACCTTTCAAACTTATGAATTTCGATTTTTGGATCCAAATGAGATGTATGACGGATCTGATTTAAAATCCTTGAGATAGAAGACTACATTTAATGATGATACTTTAAAATTCTCGAGGGAGAGGATTATATTCAATATTTTTTCTGTTAAGAACTTTATAGGTTGGGTTGAGTGGGAATTATCTCATTTAAGGGATTACATGGGACTTGTTAATTGTTATGTAACATTTATTATTTGAGGATTGCTATTTCTATATTTAGGGATGCGTCCCACACTTTAAAAATTCAAAATTGTTTTTAATGTATTCGGAGATGTACTTCTAGATGCACTCATAGATGTGTCTTCATATACTATTTGAATGTAATTGAAGATGCATCTCCGAAATATAATACATATTTAACTGTTTTGTTTTTATTCACTAAATTTAATGGTTTTTTAGGCTTACATATTTATGTCATTTTTAAGCATGAATTAGAAGAAAAATGCATACATTAATAGATTCCAACATAGTACACAATTATAAAAAAATCATACAATTATCAAAATGTACCAACGCTATATAAGTTATTTCGAAAATACAAAATAATACAACCAAACAAAAATTTGTTGGATATGTCTTACTCCCTGCCTTCTCCTCCGTTTATACTGTAAGGCATTCTCTACCTAGACAATCATGCCTTCCATGAGAGCCAACTGTAGACTGTCATCCTCAAAAAGTTATGCCGCTATGCATGATCTCCCCATCTTTATAATACGATGAGCCCCATCTTTATAATACGTTGATAAACCTCATCTAGAATGATGGTCATCTCGAGTGATGGTCATCTCACCAACCGAAAGGTGGAGAAATGACGTCTCAGAATGTCATCTATCTGTAAATGTCGCATGAATGTCATGATACTTATTTCTACTTAGGCAAAAATCACGTGTTTCAAAAGCTCGTCTTCAAGTTTCTAACGTCTCATTTAACCCATCCTTCGACTCTCCAAGAAGGACTATATCATCTGTAAAAATCATGCTTCTCGGTGGTAGCTCTTGTATGAAATACTACTCCTTAGCATTTGACATTCACCGTATATTTATGGAATGTAATTTTCACCCCTTTTCTATTGTTGTGTTTATGCTCCTCGGGGAGTATAGATAATCAGGTACCCGAGTAGTGCTTGGAGTGAGTGTTGCTTGATTGAGTCTTAGGAGTCGCTCTGATACGTAACAAGAGATTTGAGAATTTCTATGTTTTTGCATTGTTTTTAATTGTTATGTATTTTAATTCATGATTATGTCGAACCACACTTTTTGTGGAATTTTTATTATTGTTGAGGCCTTAGCGCCATGGAGTAAATTAATTTGAGTTGTTCCGCTACTTAGTTGATTACTATGAATAAATGAAATAATAAAGTGACTTGAGACTCTATGAGCTTATTTGAATGATGTGACATCCTATTTATGCACTATGATGTATTATTTAGTATATTTTATTATAATAATTATTATTATCAGAAAGTGGGGTGTTACAATTGGTATCAGAGAAAGTCGATCCATCTGACTAGTTTGTCGAGTCAGTAGTGTATTGTGACGGTTGAATACTATCGATGTGTTTCTTCTAACAATTGTTTGATGTTATGGTGTGAAACAAAAAAATGGATGGGAGAAACGATGTTGCTCTTGTTGCTGCTTTGCAGGCTATGCAACATCAGCCTAATGCTGGTGGGAATGATGTGTCCCGTGTTTTGGAGACATTCCAGAGAAACCATCCGCCTACGTTCGAGGGTAGGTATGATCCTGATGGAGCGCATAATTGGATCAAGGAAATTGAGAGAATCTTTCGAGTTATGGATTGTTCTGATGCACAGAAGGTGCGATTCAATACACATATACTTACAAAGGAAGTTGATGACTGGTGGGTTAGCACTCGTCAGATATTGGAGGGTGGAGGTGAAGAGATTACTTGGGCCGTGTTCAGCAGAAAATTTTGGAGGAAGTACTTTTCTGAAGATGCTTGAGGAAATAAAGAAATTGAATTTCTGGAGTTGAAACAGGGAGAATTGTCGGTGACCGAATATGCTACTAAGTTGGTGGAGCTGGCAAAGTTTTACCCTCACTACAGCGAGGTAACTGCAGAATTTTCAAAGTGCATTAAGTTTGAAAATGGGTTGCGCTCAGAAATCAAGAAGGCAATTGGGTATCAGCGGATCCATAAATTTTCGAATTTGGTGAATAGCTGCAGGATTTATAAAGAGGATAATAAGGCTCACTGCAAAGTCATAAATGATAGGAGAGGCAAGCAACAACATAATCGTGGGAAACCTTAAAATGCTCCAACTGACAAAGGCAAACATAGGGTTGTTAATGGTAAGAGGACATGTGGGGGAGGTGCTTCTGCTGACGCCGTGTGGTACAGATGTGGGAAGCCAAGTCATCGAAGTAATGTATGTACTAGATAAGTGAATAGGTGTTTTCGTTGTGGTAAAGTGGGCATGACATAACTGATTGTAGACATAAAGCAACAATATGTTTCAACTGTGGCGAAGAAGGACATATCAGTACTCATTGTCAGAAACCGAAAAAAGCTCAATCCGGTGCGAAGGTGTTTGCATCGTCCAGAACTCAGACATTTAGTAGAGATCGTTTGATCAAAGGTATATGTTTCATTAACAATACTCCTTTAATTACTATTATTGATACTGGTGTTACTCATTATTTATTGATGTCGGTTGTGTGAAAAAGTTGGGTCTTGAATTATCTTCTATGAATGGAGAGATGGTTGTCGATACTTTAGCTAAGGGATCAGTGGCTACTTCTCTTGTATGTTCGATGTGTCATTTGTCGATCTTCGGCAGAGACTTTGTTGTGGATTTAGTTTGTCTACCGTTGAGTGGTATGAACGTGATTCTAGGTATGAATTGGTTGGATACAATTATGTTCATATTGATTGTTATAACAAATCTGTACGGTTTTCTAATCTTGATAAGGAAGGAGAAACTGAACTCTTATCTGCTAGACAGTTGAATGAATTGATGCAAGGTGACACTCAAGTTTTTTCTTTGATGGCTTCCTTATCTATTGAGAATCAGGCTGCAATTGATGAATTGCAGGTAGTGCGTGGTTTTCTCGAAGTTTTCCCAAATGATATTCCAGATGTGCCGCCAGAAATAGAAGTGGAGTTTTCTATTGATCTTGTTCCTGGTACCAAACCCGTGTCTAAGGTGCCCTACAGGATGTCAGCATCTGAATTGGCAGAGTTGAAGAAGCAATTAGAAGACTTGCTCGAAAAGAAACTTGTGATACCAAGTGTATCGCCTTGGGGAGTGATAAGTGCAAATTGTAGCTATTTTTGTATATACTTTTTGTTGCACTTATCAAATTTTTATTATAAATATCGTTGAACAAACCTGACTTTTGTGTAAATACATTTAGTTTGTGTTTATTTGTGTTTTTGTGTACATAGTTTACCGCTTGATGTTTTTCTATTCATTTTATAGGTATTGATGCGTATTTGGAGCATGAGCAATAAAGTTTCGAAGACACGACTTCAAACGCGCAATTTTGAGCAACTCGTCAACGAATAAGGTTCAAAATCAAAGAATAAGAAATCATCAATTTGGTTTATATTTAGTAATTGTTAGATATATAATTGAATAAGCTTTCCAACGCTTCGAACCGGGCGTACATCGGAGTTACGGTTCTCAAGTTATGGCAAAAACAAAATGCTAATTTTTTTCTCATGACATAGAGTGCGCTTAGCGGGTCTTGCCGCTTAGCACGGTCCCCTAGACATAATTACATTAAAAGGAGAAAAAAACACATTTTTAGGTGATGTTTTGGGTATTTTTGGTCCTAATCCATCAAACCTT